ATCCAGCACTGAATTCTGTGCCCTTTCTTGAGAAACTACAGGTAGTCCACGGATTAAGCATGCCCAGATTACGGATGACCCACAGTTCAGAACAGAGCCTATTGTAGCAAAATCCGAGTTAAATACACAGTGACTCGAGTGAAATACACAAGGGCTCGAGTTCATTCCACAATGCTACTTCTGCAGTCTTATACAATGATACTGTTCTGGGTTACGTATAAATTCAACTTAAGGACAGACCTTGGGCACAGGACTTGATCTTAAACTGTAATACAAAAAAGAGGGTAAGGCAAGATTTTCACAAAGACTTTGCCATGGGTCAGTCCTCCCAGAGGAAAAGTAGTGAGACGTACATTGAAATAAAGTTCTAGCTCACTTACCAGTAGGGTTGAAATGCTTTCATCCAAGCTCATCGGCTTGGTCGTGCCACAAGTCTCTCCCTGGCCTGGGCTAAAACTACCCCAAAGGCCACGTTTTCCTGTACAGATTTGCACAGTTTTGGGGGCTATAGAAGAAGGCCGGCGTATCTTCACAGGGCCCTTCAATTACCGTGTACTTTGTTGAAACCTGGGCCTTTCAGGCCGTGACTAAAAGCGCCGTGGCAGGACTTACACATCCCACTAGCCCGCAGTGCAGCCAGTCGCCCCGGGTTTAGCTCTCAGCTGCTATGGTTGCAAACCAGGGTTCATGGCCGGAATGTGTGACTGGAGAGCTCCACCGAGCTTTGCACAGCACGTAAAGGGCCACAATCCCAAAGTGGGGAGGGGCCACCGTTAGGGAGGATTGGCAGTTTGAAGTACAATTGCCCTTCGAGGCCACACGAGTGATTCTGAGCGCCATAAAAAGGATGGTGGTGGTCTGGATGAAGTTCTTGGGCCCACACATTTTGCACCCCTGCTTTGTAGTCTAGCACAGTGTTTCTCAACCTTGGCAACTTTAAGATGTGTGGACTCCCACTCCCAGAATTCCCCAGCCAGCCATGGCTGGCTGGGGAATTCTGGGAGTGGG